GGTTAGTAAACACAAATTAACTAGACTCCAGAAGTATGAAGAATAAATCTCAAATATGAATGAAGTCTAAGAAAAAAAAAAAAAAAACTCATAGAGTTTAAAAAAAAGTTTTACAAAAATTAAAAAGTTAATCAAGACTGACAACATAAGCTACTTGAACATTTGTTGAAAGGTTAAGTAACAACCAATTTCGAAAAATAATAAAGAAACTAATGATAATTTAAATTTTTCATTAACCAAACCTAAATGTTTTTTTTGCAAACAATAACTTTGACTTCACAAACCAATATTTTCATTGCAAAATTTCTACCTGTGTTGCCTTCAGTGGCAATAAAATAAAAAAAAAATGCTGCAAGTGGAAATATTATTTTTGCTTCAAAGCTGCTGTCTCAGATTACCATTTATAGCAGTTATACTAAAATCCAAAGAATATGCACAGTCACATGAAATAACTGATATTACAAACAATACTAGGAAATAATAAACAATGAGACAACATTTTTAATAAATCAGTAACATAGAAATCACAATTACATATGATAGATCAACAAATAAGAAAAATAATGTATCCTCATATCCTTTTTCAAAGCAAGTGATTGTAACACCTGTTTAACTTAATGAAAATATACTGCTATGTTTCATGTTTGTTTGTATGTTTACTTTTCTTAATTTTTTCTTCTTGCTGATAAAAATGGGAAGCAACACTCATACTGCATTCTCCAAATAAATCAAGATTTAAAAAAAATAGTTACAGTTACTAAAGAGCTCTGTGTATGGCCTGTATGTCACTGATCTCTGGTGAAAAAATATAAAATATTAAATTAAAGATAAATAATTTATATTAAATTACCACAAATGGAGACTTGTCATTAAATAATCATTAAAAAATTATTTCACAAATACTGTTCTTGATTTTTTTATTTATCAATGGGACAAACCATGAACGACACCCACGTCTTGTAGACTTGATTCAGACGCTTCTATTTCTTCATCATCCAGTTTGAGAGTTTCAGTGTATATTGAATAATTTGTGTCATGGTGAGTTTGTTCTTCTCTTTTGGGTCTTCTTTTCTGCTGCTCTGACTCACTTTGTTTTGACCCTCCGGCCTAGATTGCATTTTTTTGTCTGAGACTTATTTTCAATATTTTCTTCTTTATTTTTGACAAGTCTCGCAGAGCTGCACTGTGAGGTTTTCTCTACAGTTTCTCTCAACTCTATCTCACTACAAAAACCAGTCTTGTTTTTTTTTCTTTTTTTCTTTATCAGTGCGACAATCCATGAACAACACCCACATGTCTCGCTGTCTGCACTTGATTCAGCAGCTTCTATTTCAACATCATTCAGTTTGGGAATTTTGGTGTATTTTGGATCATTTGTGTCGTGCCGAATTCGTTCTTCTCTTTTGGTTCTCCTTTTCTTCTGCTCTGACTTGCTTTGTGTTAATCCTTTGGGTTTGATTGCATTTTTTGTGTTTCCTTCATTATTTTTGACACGTCTCTTAGACCTGCCTTGTGAGGTTTTCTCTACATTTTCTATTCTTGTTTTCTTCATCTTTGTCCCAAAACTTTCACCATCATGGTTCTGCCTATGTCCTTCATGAGTCATTTGAACTTTTACTGACCTCTGTGAACCACATCTTCCTTCTTTGCTTCCCCCAATCTCATATCTGGCTTGTGGTTGAAAACGCTCCGCTTTTGTTTTTTCATTTGTACCAGCATCCTGGTTTGCTTCTATTATTTCTGGTCCCACTGGTCTTAGATGGGATTTTTCTCTGGTCTGAATTTGTTTAGTATTTCCTTTATATTCTTTCACTTTCATCTCTTCCTCCACATCTTTCTCTTTCTGTGTCTTAGCAGCACAACTTGCCTCCCCTGCTGTGTTTTGCCCATACTTACTGTGATCACCTTTATTGTTTCTTTTTCTTTCTCTCCTGCCCTCCTTCATATTTCTGATTTCTGTCTCTACGCAAATATCATTATCATTTGAATGTGTCACACTGATGTCCTGAATGTTTAATGTATCACGCCGTCCTTTTCCATGTTTATGACTCTGATCATCTTGTAGTATGCTTTCTTTTCCTTCATCAACTTTTTCTTTATCCTGAAATGTGTCACAGCACATCTCTGCTGTTGATTTATCAGCACTAATCTTTCCTTTTGTGTCATGTTGAAAATCTGTTTTTGTTTTCTTCTCATCCTCCTTCTCAGCACGATTAGGATTTTGGCTGTAATAATTTTCAGTTTTTTCTTTATTCTCCTGATGTTCAAAGATGTTCTCTCCCACAGTGTCAGCTGGATGCTCTGCATGGCTGTTTTTCTCTGGCTGCTTATTTTTAGCGTTTTCATTTTTATCTGCTGCTGGATTCAGGTCATCACTTCCAGTGGTTCCATTCCCCTCATTTCGTTCTTTTTCCAGAGGATCTACATTACAGGGGTTGTCAGGTGATCCCTCAGCTTCCCTGAAGCGAGGAGCCTTTGGATTATTCTCGGTGTCTGTCTCCTTCCCTTCTTTCCTTCTCTTTCTCTTATTTTTCCCATCTTGTCTCTG